GAGAGAGAGAGAGAGAGAGAGAGAGAGAGAGAGAGAGAGAGAGAAACCAACCGCACCAATGAAAGTTTTTTTCCTATCGAACAATAAAAAAAAGAGAATGAAAGATATTCGATGCGAATTTAATTGGAAAGTGGCCGATTGTATTATGTGAGATGTTGTATTGGTTCAACATTTTTGAATAAACTTTTCTTCTGTTTAAACGAAATGCTGTATTATTATCAAAATGGCCATGGTAAAAGTCCGAATAATGCATTTTATTTTTCCAAAAAATCAGACAAAAAAGAAGAAAACTTACCGCACCGAAAAATGTGAGGCACTACAATAATTGAATCTCTTTAAGCAAATCAACTTTGCACTTTTTTATCTCACTTTGATTCGATGAAATGCAGCGGTTTCGATATGCATTTACAAACATTTGCCCATCAGCGTACAAATATACACAGCAAGCGTGTTTATTGAATTCTGTCAGTGGAGTCAAAAAGAAGCGTTCGCCGTAAAACTAATTAAAACTTCTCAGAGGAGTTGAAATAAAAAAAATTGGAAATAAAATAAAAGATAGAAATTGCAAAGAAAATAAAAATGGAAAAAGAAGGAAAATTGGTTAGCTTGGTGTTTAATTAGTTTCACAAGCGAAACATTTGAAACGCCTCGGAAAATGGCTTTCTATTCACTATTCACTTTCCAGCAGCCATTCAAACTTACGCAGACGATCGTTATATGCGCTTCGGTATCGTTTTATATCTCGTTGTTGCCACCAGTTTTTGCTACATGCAACTGAAACCAATTTTTAATGGGGATTTCTCCTTCTTTCATTTTTGTTTCTTTTTGTTGTTTTCTCACTCTCTATCTCTCTATCGCGTTAAAACATTTTATTATATTCCATTTTCAATTCGATTTGTTGCCATTGTCGCTCTCGATCGACCTCACATTGGCTTTTGGCTGGCTGATTCTCACTCTGCTTTAGAAATGTGGTGTTAGCTTTGGTGTTGGTATCTTCTTTTTATTATATTCTCTCTGTCTCCTCATCCATGTGTTGTTTCTTTTTCGAATAAATGCTAGTTGCATTACAATACACAGACATTTTCACCATGTGAAAACCATATATTATTCACATTCTGATAGTGGTTGTGTAACGTTTTCCAATCTAATTTAATGTTACCGAAGTCCCAAAGCCTTTGCTAGCATATAGCTGTATTGTTGTAAAACAAATTACAAATACATGACTGAAATTTTCGAGTTTTTTTTACCTACTATTCCACCATCTCATTCTTCTAGTTTCTGGTGCGCTTTCAATGTGCCAAAAATTAAAAAAACAAAAACGAAAAAAAATGTTAAAAACAAAATAACAACATAGTAAGTAGAGAGAAGGGGCAAAATGTGAGCAACGCCACCACACACCAATTGAGAATGGAAGACAAATACAGAGAGCTCGCGCGCTTCGAATTGGGATACGCGCATAACATTCAGATAAATAGAAACCACTGAAATAAACGATCGAAAAAAAGTCTGCTTGTAACATACAAAATATATGAAATGCGAAGAAAAAAAATGAAACAACAACAGCATGGAATTGATCCGTTTGCGTAAATGTCGAAGGGTGAAAAATATCCGTTGCTGAATGCTTTTGATCATTTGACAAGAACGTGAAAGAGGCGAACGCTTAGCACAATGATTGATTCGTCTTGCGAGTTTTTCGCTATAAGCTTTTGAAAAGCGATTTCGAAATGCGTCGTTTGTATTACGTGGTAGTTTTATTCGATTTAACCAAGTGGCATATACGACTTGTGACGTTAAAAATCGCGCAGTTGTTATCAAAATTTGGTTATTATAGCTAATAATTCACACGCCAAATGTGAAAAGTGTACGACATTTTCTTTGGCGATTATAATGAAATAAAAAAAAGTGGAGCAAGGGAAAGCGCTGAAAACATCAAAAAACGCAAAAAAGACTAACCAAATATAATTTGTTGGGCAAATAATGGGGCGCACACAAGAGACAAATGGGATAGTTGGTGTTTGTCTTGATGTCGGTGGTAACCGGATTTACGAGCAATTCATTGTATTTATCGCCTCAAACAAAAGCAAAGATATGGGACCAATGGCACAGAAAAAAACCGAATCGAAGCGAACGGAATGAACTGCAAATGGCTTAAATACTTTGCGCACTCTGACACCAAACAAGAGGCATAGAGAAGCGAGAGGCGAAAGGATTGTAATATACATTTAAAATCGGCTGTTACGCTATGCGGTGTGCGATATGTTGTTGTCGATTATTCGGGTGTGTATGCGTTTATGTTTATGTTTTTAAATGGTCCCAGACACATGAGAGACAAAAAGGGCATTCAAATTGTATGATATTGTTTTCATTCGCCCATATATGTTGTACGGTTTACATTGGAAAATTGAAAATGTTTTTGGATCCGGAAACGGATGCATATAAATTTTGGATCACTAAATTTTCGTTGCAGCATTGGAACGCCTCTGATCGAATATGGCCTGGAAGTAGCCGCCGTTGACTCGGATAAACGTTTCTAATATGAATGGATGGTGAATAGGGTGGAACATTTTTGGCATAATTTTATGGCCACTTGGAAAAACATGTCTTATAGTCACCAGATTCAAGATATGAAGGAATTTTCAACTTGCGGTTCCATATCGCTGTCTTGACTTGAAAGGAATGGAGATACATTTTACTGGAAAATCATGAAAAATTGCAGTAACCCAATCACCATGAAAACTTGTGAATCTAATTTTCTGACCAAAATAAGTAATATCATCAAGTTTCATGAAACTTCAGCCAAAAATAAAGGTACCTCCCATACAAAACTTTTATTTTTTTTCTCAAAAATAAAAAATCGAAAATTTTGTATAGGAGGCACCTTTATTTTTGGTTGAAGTTTTCATGATTTTCTAGTAAAATGTACCTCCATTCCTTTCAAGTCGCTGTCTTATATGGAACTGCAAGTTGAAAATTCCTTCATATCTTGAATCTGGGGACTATAAGACATGTTTTCTCAAGTGGCCATCAAGATATGCCTCGAAATTCAAAAAATGTTCCACCCTAATGGTGAATATGGTGGTGTCGATGTGGCAGTGAATTTGGGCTTTTATAAGAACGTTAAAATGAGTGTTAGATTGCGTTTTAACTGTCGTGCACACGAACTATCCATTCAAAAAATAAATAAGTGGCAGTAAGTGTGAGAGCTTTAATAAATGTTTTGCAACGCATTCATAACACAGTGACAAAGCCGATGAAACAACGACCGAAAAGCACGCAACTGAAGCCAAAATAAAAGAAGAGAAACAAAAAAAAACAACAATAGAAAAACTAAAACATTTTCTCTAGTGAACTTGAATCGCTATCGTATGGACAGTATGAAATGCGTGTGTAATATGAACATATGAGTAAAAGCAAAGTGCAAAATGAAGTCAAAATTTTGAAACCAAATCAAATTAGCGACGACCAAAAAATATTTTGTGAGTGAGAAACAGTATATGTAGTTCGAGTCTATATTATTTGGCATATTCGCATATTTGCAAATTTGATAATTGAGGAGCGTTGCACATGCATAAAAAGATACACAGGATGGCGAAATTTAAGCATCGCCGAGCACGAGCCCGTAATCGAATGATGACGATATGGAATGTGTTGTTAATTTGCTACTTTATTGAAATTGCAAATAATGTAGCACTATCAATAATTGCACAGAACATCGAAGATAATATGGGTAATAATATATATACTTTGGTTATATGGTGGCTGTGTCGTTCAACGCACATACACACACACACATACATAGTACACACAAACTCATTCAAATGCTTACGTACGCACTCTATTGACGCTTTTTTCATTTATTATGCTGTGTAATTGTGTGCATAATGTTGGAGCTGAAAATCATGCACACCACCGTTTCTCTTGATGATTTTGTTTGACGTCGCCAACGTACTTTCGTCATTATACGTTCATTTAGAAATTTTAATGTATACGTGTGTTGTGTTCTCATCAAATGAAAATGAATATAAATATATGAACAACGTCACACCAGAGAACGGACGAGAAAATGTGTAATTAATTTTGAAAACAATTTATCGTGCACTCACAATACGAACATCATCAAGATCGTTATTCAGCTGAGTTGTAATGGCCGCTGTCGCCCTAAAGATCATAATATGTTGTTCGTTTTCCAATTCAAATATGTATAAATGGATCATGTGCAATGTGCATGTGTGAACTGTAAATATATATGATATACACACCACTCTACAGTTAATTCAATCGTTTTTAATTTGTACTAGATTTTCAATCGGTGACTATCGCATGTTTCAATAATCTCATCAATTTTATTGTGTTGCGATGCCATATAGAGTTCGCAACATTTTTGCATCGAATGGCTAAAATAATGCTTGAATTTATTGCTAAAGCTGTTTGCAAATCTAATTAATTCAAATTCAAATTTTATCTCATTTGTTGAGATAATCAATAGACGAGCTTTCGAAATTCATGGCGCCCAATTGAAAAAAAAAAAATGCTTCCAATGGAAAGAATGAAAAATCAATCCCTAAGTCAAATGGTAAATGCGTGTGGAACGAATTTTACGACGACAGCGACCAACTATTGACATGCCAGTTAGGTTTTTTTTCGTTCAGTTTTGTCAATGCCAAAAGTATTTAACACTCCCGCTCGTGTCAACAGAAAATCCACTGTATTGAAGTTGTAGTTTGTCGCCTTCCAAACCATACCGTCGTTGTCGTTGTCGTTGTCGTTGTCGTCGTCATCGTCGTCGTCGTCGCCGCCACCTCCACCGCCGTTGTCCTCTTTATTGATATATGATGAATCAGTTTCAATATTGAATGATATCGTTTCGGTTTGTGAAAAGCATTCAAAAGCAATGTTTCAATCACTGTCAATCAGTGTGATATTTCATTTCATGCAAACCACATCAATATATTGGTGAAAGCAATACGAATATTTTTGTCACTCGTCATATTTCAATAGATGCGCTATTCCATAAAGTTTTATTACGACGCACTTTATGGGCCATCGTAAAGAGATGAAAAGCAAATTCATTGCTGTCCACTGCAGTGTATGCGAGACAAAAGAGAAACTTATTAATTATAAGCCACCAAGGTACCGCTGTCGATTCTCTCCAACATTTTTGTCCGTATGGTATCTCTTTTTCTTCGTTTCTTTCACATAAAACGAAAAAGAAATTGTTCGTATCACACGAAGCGATTTGGTATCTACAAATCGTCAACAACTGCTTAGTTGAAGATCTTCCGTGTTCGCCCAAATGAGAAAATCCAAAAAAGACACATTTTCGACTTTTGCAAACGATGTGGTTGCGTTTTTTTTCGCAAAATGCAAAATGCGCAAATCTTCTTGGTATATAAAAAATTGATGCGAACCAGTTGTACGTGCAAAATGAATTTTGAAATGTATACTGAACATTGAGAATATTTCGCCATATATTTTTTTTCAAGTTTCGGCTTCAACTCTTTATCATTCCATTTGTTTCCATATCTCAATGACTCTTTCTGTGTGTCTCTTTCTCTTTCTTGCTACAATAACTCGGCTAAAGATACAATGAAGTATAGAATGAAAATCTTATGCACTAAAATAGTGGCTGCCGAATTTTGTCCAAATATCGCCTTATTTCTTGTTCTTTTTCGTTTCTTATTTTCTCATTTTGTGCCATATGAAGTTGGTTATTCGTGACTGCCATCCGCAATCATTTTCGATGTGAAAACTGCATGCATACATACCTTTATCCGCAACGTTTCATTTCTCCCATCGCTCAAATGTTCGATTCTCTCGAGAATCGTCGATTCCGTTGAATGGCAACGATGAACAAGTTGGAAAATAAAAATCGTAACGTTTCCTTTTGCACCGAACTTTATTCAAATATTTTTACATACATTATTCTTAAAAATAGATTACGTTTGCTCCTACAAGAAAAGGCACCAAACGATTCGCAGTCAGGTATTATATTACGTGCATTTTTTTTCTTCTTCGACGTCGTCATCGTTGTCGTCGTCGTTCATCTCCCATTCTCGTTCATATTCTCTGCATCGCGTTTATTTCGTTCGCGTTGTCATCGAAGCTTTCATAATCTTAGGCTTAAGATAGGTATCTTTTTTCTACCGATCTCAAGTGTACATTGCACGCAAGCAAGAAAAATAGATGGTTTTTGGCTCTTGAATTCCCAAGTTTGAATCATTTACAATGTTCAATTCGAAAAAAAAAAATTAGCACATTTATTTGTGACCAACGATACACAAGTATATATAAAAACGTAATCATCCTAGGCAAAACAATTATTTATTTGAAATTGATACCATTTTTGAATCGAAACTTTGACACTTCATTCAAATACTTTATTAAAATTTGATGAGCACCAAAAGCAATAATGGAATACTTGACAATGATTGAAACTCAAATCGGTTCAAAGTAAATCACAATTTAATCAATCATTCCGGTATTGTTCGAGTCGGAGTAGAATGGGGAACGCAATGCGCTTTATTTCATGGACAACTCTTTAATCAATTGAATTGGTGCAATGCATTACATTGTCACAGATATTCCGATTATTCGATGTAAATAAGTAAATAAATAAACAAATAGGAATTATGCTTTTGGTTGATCTGCCAGCAGCAATTTTATTCGAGAATCGATTGCACTGTCAACAATATTATATTGGACTGTATAAATATATACATACATGAATATATTCTTTCTCTCTCTTTGTTTTTCATTGCCTGATGAATGATAAGCAATAATTTTTGATTTTGATTTCATTTTCGAATCGGATCAATATGATTGTTATTGTTATGAAACAGGTGACATTATGATGGGGTCTCATTCGGTTACATGTGTGAGCACAACATGATATATTCGCGTTTTTCTCCCGTTCGTTCGCATATCGTATACGAATCAGCTTATGTGGGCTTGTTAGCCTATATAAAAATGATGTGTGCGTGCGTGTATATATGTACGGTGTATGAACAGAGTACGGTACATATGTTAATGTATTGTGTGAATTGATAAAATTTCATTAAGTTTATATGTGTGCAAGCACCTTAAATTAACACCAGATTTCTATTGATAATTAATATCATATGTGTATGTTATGTATTTTTGTGCTCTTTACCTACATCTATTCACGGTTATTTGTTTACTTTTTATTTGCCATTCACTGGATACCATAATAATGCTTGTGATACCGGATGCTATTGTGCTTTGCGTGCGCATAGAATCAATGCACGTTGTTGAAGCTGTCAAAGGAACAATAGGTCGTTTACCATGCAATATAACGCCATCAGTGAAAGGCGATAAAATTATATTAGTAATCTGGTATAAAGATGGATATTCAGTGCCAATTTATAGGTAAGACTTTACATTTTATTATTAGTCTGATTTGTTGGTATTTTGCTAATTTATGATGTGATTTTTAAGAGACTATGTATACAATGTATGTATGCGTGCGACTTCTACTTATGGTAAATGTGTTGCACAAAAGTGTTGTTCAACTACATTCTAAGCGAACATAAATTAGATTTGCATCGAAAACATTATTCTTCCGCTTCGTTAAAACAAAGGAATTTTTAGTTTAACTATATATATGTCTATTTTTTTTTTAATCTTCGGGCCCTTTCATACCTCATTTCCCAATTATTTCGATATAACGGCTTACACATACATGTGAAAAGTGGGCCGAAGACGAACCGTAGAGCAAAGATTTACACTCTGAAAATTGCTGTTCGTTTCTAACTCGATGGGAAAGGATGAGGATACATTTAATTAGATATATCGTTATTTTCTTGCCGTGTCAGAGTGTCGTAGCATTGCTGTGTTACACACAATTTTTTTTATCTTTCTCCCACTCATGCTTCCCATCCATCTGAATTTCCCAAAAAAATGAACGGAAGTTGTGCGTTTTTGTTCTATCTCCCAACACCGAAAAGAGCTAAGAAGACACACGACCAGAGAAAATGTATAAAATATAGTTTTATGCAAAGTTTGGAATCAACGTATAAATGGCAAAGAAATTTATGTCCACCGTTTATTCCCTTTTCACTCATTTTCTACATTCTTTTTTCGTTCGCTCGGTGCCATTTGTTGTCTCATTTCATCTCTGGCCAGATCACATGCTATTACGATGGTAGTGTGAACGCTGGCATTTGCACTGTCAATGCCCGTCTCGGGTATGGCAAGCGAAAATTACGCTTGGCTTTCATTGTCATTTTTTTTCTCTGTGTCTCTATTTGTATGTGTGTGTGTATGTGTCGCTCTCTTCACTCCGCAAAAGAGCAAATGTGTCTCAATTTCCCGCAAGATAATTTTCAGAGCTTGAATTGTTTGCAACATATACACATCCTACAGGTCATGTAAATTACAATGACCTGAGAAATGCTTTTGACAGAGTTGACAGAACTATTTTATTTGCCTTCAGTTGTAGCTCACAGCTTCTCACAATTTATACATATATATATTATACATACTTTTGCATTCAATGTGCTGAAATTGGATATGCAATGTATTTGGGTGGCTGGCTGGCTTCGAGTAGCTTCAGTTCAGTTTCAACTTAAATCCATACCAAGAACGCACATGAATACCCACACAGATATATTTGCATCGTATATGTACATATACAAAATGAGAATGTAATCACGGAAAATCCATTAGTATGTAAACTGCTTGGAATTGTGTAACGGCGTAAGTAGCACACAATCTGAAATCTATTCAAGTTACGGTCGCACATTTGTACATTCATACGTTTCATCCTGTCTGATTCGAGTGAAAAAGCACCGCATAACTAGATAAAAACCTATTTTACTTTTCGTTGCTCATTTTCTCTTCGTCACAAGGAGCGCTATGTATGTGTTTTTTTTACCTCTCTCTCTCTCTCTCTCTCTCTCTCTCTCTCTCTCTCTATTCATTTTTATTTCGTTGTTCATTTGCTACTTATACTCAGTGGTCCGTGGAGCATTGTTGCTGCAACCGCTAACACACAGAGAGAGTGTGTGTGAGAGAGAGAGAGAGAAAGCAAGAGCTAGAAAGAGACATACACATACGAACTAATTTTATGCTCTCACATTTAATGGATGTGCACCGAATTGATTGATGTATTTGGGGCTAAACTTTATCTTTAACGAGTAAAATTTCCATTCGAAATTGTTTCGTATTTATTCAATCATGTTGCCACGAGGTGTATATGGATTCACTTTATGTTTGCTATTTAACACGGCACTATATTTGCCGGGCGTGAATGAATTTGTGCGATGTGAATTCAGTTCAATTTCAAGCTACTTAAGAAACAAGACTTCTTAGTCCCTTCTCTCTCTTTCTCTCTCTCCCTTCCTGTCTGTCTCTCTGGCTCATTTTCCTTTTTATTTCTCATCAAAGTTCTTTTTAAATGCACGCTCAAAGTCGAACTCAATTAGATAACATTTTGGCCGAGACTCAGCTGCGTTCGACACAATTGAGCAAGTACCGAAATTGAATAGTTTCTCTGATGAATTTTTCACCATTTCTTTTTGAATTACTTGAAACTCTTGCTTAACATTTGAGAGGAAACTAATTATGTGTGTTTTATCTTATTGTTCATCATTTTCGTTAATATTCGGTTCAGTTTCGATGCCCGGAACACCGACTTTGAAAAAGGTTCTCATTGGCTGGATGAAAAGAATTTGGGCAGTCGTGCTTATTTCCAGGCATCATCTAATCCAGCTTCATTGATTATTAATGAAGCACAAGATTCGGATAGTGGCATCTATCGTTGCCGTGTCGATTTCCACAAGAGTCCAACAAGAAATTCACCCGTACAACTCAAAATTATACGTAAGTTTTCAAAACCTATTTCCACTTTAAATACAATACATGAATTTTTAATTTAGTTTTTGAACAAGTTTTCAATGGCTTTTATTTCAACTCTTTCTCCATCTGGTTTTTTTTTTATCGGCATTGTCTTTTCCAAATTGTCCAATTTTCAACAGCATTAGCTCGTGATCAATTGAACACATTTATCGTTTATTGAACGAATGTTCTTTTTTTGCTACCGTATTTTTTGTTTTTGATTTTTGTTATATTGTAATCTGTGTGGTGCAAAAAATGCTTTTAAATTTGTGTCACAACAATACACATTCATTCCGCGTAGAATCCTATTATATTAATTTTGATTTAGTTAATAGAGAAAAAAAGCATTAGCCGTATGACAGTCATTCTCGAAATTAATTCATATGTCTATTGGTGAGATCTAAAAGAACGCAAGTGTGTTCGACTTTGTCGCAATAAAGGAATGTATGTTTTGCGCCAAGTAAATTTTGAAAAAAGAGAGTATGTATTACGGCTGAATCAGTTATTGGAAAAGGAATGCATGTTTCGCACCAGATAAATTTTGAAAAAAGAGAGTATGTATTTCGGCTGAATCAGTTGTTGGAAAAGGGATGCATGTTTCAGTTTTGTTGGTTTGGATAAAAGAACGTAAGTGTCTTTGTTCTGGAAGTGGGCTTTGGTGGATCCTCAGGATCATCAGAACCGCTCCCAGTTCTGGAAGTGGACCCTCAGGATGGGCCAGGGCATTGTCAAACCATAGTCTGGTCCATCCTGAGGATCCACCAAAAGCCACTTCCAGAACTGGGAGCGTTCTGATGATCCTGAGGATCCATCGAAGCCAAGTTCCAGAAAAATCATCGTTAAACATGCATCCCTTTTTTAACAACTGATTCAGAATCACTTACTTTCCTTTTGCAAAATTTATTTGGTGCGAAACATGCGTTCCTTTATCAGCAACTGATTAAGCCGAAAACATACTTTCCTTTTACAAAATTTTTTTGGTGCAAAACATACTTTCCTTTTAGTAAGACAGAATTGGCAAAACACATACATTCCTTTTATAAAATTTAAGGCGAAAAAAAAACATACGTTCTTTTAGATCTCACCCATAGATGTCTGTATATATTTATATTGCAGCGACATAAAAAAAGCTTAGTTTGTTCATTTGTAATTCAAAATGGATTATCGTAAATTCAGACTAAATTGTTGTTTTTATTGTTGATTTATTTATTGTATGTATTTTTGTTAAATATTATTTGGAGAGGGAGAGATCAGTAAACTGCAATTTATTAGATACAATTTGTCTGTGCATCGATTCATTAATGGTTTATGGTTAACAAGTGTGTCATGTGGTCGTGTGCACCGATCAAATATAATCCAAAAAATCTATATATTGACAAATACCTAAGGGGAGAATCACAGAAAAGAAAAGAATCGAATTAATTTAAAATAATCGGAAACATAAACATATAATGAAAAAGTTGCAAAGCAATAACCACAACAACATTAATGTTCAGCAATTGCTTTAATTTGAGATTTGGTAGTTGTAATCGTCGATTTCAGTGAAAGAGAAAAAAAACAAAATACTCACTATAGAATAGTACTCCCTACCGTCTTAATACGATAGGGTTGGGTCAAGCAAATATTAAAGATTCATATGACGGCCTTAGAAGAAAACAATAACACACAGAACATGCTGCAAATAATACTAATACAAATTTTATGAGAGACAGCGCAAAAGACAAATGCAATATTCCTCCCGATTTTCACGTTATCGTCTACACTCGGCTTCAAACTTGCCGGTGAATTTCTTTATCATTTTCTTGCGTTCAACCGTGCCCACTCGCCAATGCCATGGTTTCGATGTCACACGAAAACTCACTTCTTCTTCAGCCGCAAAATCAAGACGAGTGGCCGCAATCATTACTTTTTCGCCTGGATCATTGCCAATCATCTTTTCGATTTTTTCGCATCGAAAGCAGCTTGAACACCGTCCGAAACTATGTCGCCTAAGTCCCTTGCATTGCTATCCGAGCTGACTTCATTTGGCACATTCGACTCATCGACTTGGCGTTTATGTCGAATCATTTTCAGACAGACTGCGATGCCATCTGTCGTAATGCAATAGTCGAATTTCTGACTACGGCGATTGACTTTCGGCAGATTGGCATACCAATTCCAAAAATCGTAGTAATCTTGATCCTCCCAGTCTCGTGTGACATCGCTGTCGATGCTCTGGCCTGAACTTTTGGGGTACAGAAGATTGGTCAATTGAATGAATGCTAACATATGTCCATAAAGTTTTGGCAGTAAATTCAGGCGTTTATTGCGCCACATAAACAAAATCAAAAATATCAACCAATGCACACGGCATGATTATCAGTACCTCGGGACTACTATCAAACTCAATTCGATGAAATACATCCATTCGCGGAGACGTACAAATTGGATTTACGAAAAAGTGTCTCAAATGGTTGTGGCGGCTAAGTTCAAAACAAATTTCGCATGTGTCTAAAGATGAACCCATCTGCCTACGAACCATATATTGTGTTTCATGGACTTAGTATGAAGAGAAAGTACCGAAAACCGGGTTGGTCAAGCAAAAATTCGTTTTTGGTGATTTTTATGGTTACAGCACATCAAAATTTGAACCAAAACAATAGATTTAGACCCGGTCATTAGGAATCAGCAAAATAAGTAATGAAAAAATTCAATAGGGTGTCAAAAATTGGGTATTTACTTCACCTCATAGCATTTTGCACTGAAAAATTCATCATTTTGGACAGTGAAACATTCATCGCTATGTCGAACCACGAATCAAGTGCAAGTGGTTTCTTTTGCATTGATTATGTTAGGGCACTACTATATGACGGCCTAAGAAGAAAACAATAACATACAGAATATTCTGCAAAAAGACGAATACAAATTTATTTTTTGCAAAAACCAAATATACAAACAGACAGCGCAAAAGTAAAACAGCCTACTTACATGTGTTTCTTATGTAAGTAGGCTGTTTTACCTTTGCGCTGTCTGTTTGTATATTTGGTTTTTGCTCACATAAATTTGTATTCGTCTTTTTGCAGAATATTCTGTATGTTATTGTTTTCTTCTTAGGCCGTCATATAAGGCTAGAGACGTCGACAAACCGAACTTTGATAAAGGCGTGTTTGTATGGTAGGATCTTCTTTGGAAGGTGTTTTAGAGCCAATATTCGAGAATTTGGTGCTGAAACGTAAGGTAAAACCTCCATTACATGCTCCATTATCAACCAATTGTTGTTGAAATCGATAGAATTCATTGAGAACTATCTGATTTAATACAAAATTTTGGTTTGCAAGCAGAAAAAACCACAATAATGGCTCACTTCTTAAAATATGACATTTCCGTGAAAAAAGGACCATCTGTTTAACTTCACAAAAAGACACCAAATTAATTATTTCTCGTCTGTTTTTGGATGTAAGTTATAGGCGAAGGTCCAAAATACTTGAAACTAGAAACAATTAGCGGGAAGGTTCGAGAGAAAGATGAAAGATATCGACATATTGGTCCGCCAAAGCATGATTTTGAAGGTTCGACGCATACTGAGAAAAATCGAAGACAATGGCCCGTTCCTAGGCCCGTTCAGTGTATGGTGAATGTGCTATTCGTAGCCCATTAATGAAGGTTTATACCAATAAAAAAGAATTTAATATTGTATGTTTGTTGTTCAAATGGCGAACACCTGAATTTACTGTCAAGACTTTATGGACATATGTTAGAGTATCGAATTTCAAATGATGGCGTTTATCGTGTGATTGGGGCACAGCTCGAAATGAGTTCCATTGCGATTCCGGATGAGCCACATTGTGTTTATGAATCCATCATTGAAGATTCAATAATTCGTACAATTGTTTGTAGTATTTCCTCTCGTCGCATGCATATTATGTGGTTACGTGCATGCATATCGATATTTTTAAACATATTTTCTAGGGGACATTCGTAGCAATTCTAGTAAGCTAGTTTTATTTACGTATTCGCTAATCGCTTACTAGTATTACTAGTGAGTACACTAGTGCTGCTAGTAGCTGCTAGTTTTTCTAGTGTTTTGAAATTATCTAGACGTATCGTATGATACATAAAAGAAACAACAGTAATGCTTAAG